GCAGGGATAGATTATTCTGTGTTATGAGCTTTGAACATACTTTTGAAATTCTTAAGAACTGTCCATCTTGAAACATTTTTTAAAATTAAGCAATATCGATTTCCATTTAGGGTATATTTTTTTCATAATTTTTGCATGGCCTGATATTGTTCGCTCGTTTGTTTTTTTCTCCATCTACATTGTGTTTACTGAGAAAAACTGTAAAGTTGTCATTCTCAACATTAGTTTCCTTAGTTCTCTGATTTAGGTATAGCTTTATTCTAAATAAAAGTGTTGAACCTGAAGTATGAGTTAATTAATATGAAAATGCATTCAGGTCTACATGAGCACTGTGCTTGTGTCCATGAAATTCAGAGCATTCTTAATTTAGATGGGAAATCATTTCCTTTCGTGTTGTCACTCAAAGCATTAGCAACAGGGGTGTGTTATCAAACATAGAAATGAAAATGCACTACCTTATCAATGAGCACATAAGCCAGCCAAAGAGACAGATGAAGGTCACTCCAAATATTTGAACGGTTTCATATCATACTGACTGGAGACCGAATGGTCTGCTAATGACAAGTGTACATTTGGCATGCACAAGCAACCAAAACGTGTCATTAGACAAGATGAAGGCTGAAATTGACCCGAACATAACCTCTCAAAGCCTCACAGAAGAAGCTGGTATCGTAGCTGTTAGGGTGGTATAGCAATGGCATGCATATCATCAGCTCGAGCTTTATAGTACACACTTGCATTCCCATTACATGGGTTCGTAGACAAGGGAAGAATTTGTGAGGCACACGGAGGATGAGTGTACATTATGCATACAGTCATTAACATGAACCCCGTTATGTACAAGTCTATGGTTGAGACAAACCAACCCAATCGTTTATTTATAAAATGTCAGATGCCTCCTGTTGATGCATTGCCAATAGTTTTGTGGTTGTGCAGAGAAGTCACGTACCAGATGAACATGTGTGGTGTGCTTACATTATTTATGCGGCCCTGTGGCTTCAAGTGTTTACCTAGACATTGAGTCACTGTGTCTGGTTACCCCAAGTTTTGAGTTTTTGAGTTACTTAATGAAGATCTTTCAAGCAGAAAAACTCAGAACTCAGTTTCAGATACCGTTCATTATTGCCAGCAAGAGGTAACACAGATAGCATAGATATATATGGATCCATGCTGACTAAGCAAAGCAGTCCATTGGATCCTTGAGCATAGTGTAAGGAGCTTTTGCCCAAAAGAGTATCAATGGCGATTCTATTCACAATTGGCAGTTTTGTTGAAGAACAGAACAGTGAGAATAAATTCCCTTGGATTCCATGCATTCACAAAGAAAATACATGGTCAGGCAGTCCTTTATATACCATTGCAGCTGCAAGACTATATCGGAGAAGGATTACTTGGTTAAGTAATGCACATTCTGAGTCACCTAGTCATGGGTGCGATACTGGTATGTCAGGATTTTCCTGGATGTCCAAATGTAAGAGGCTCAATCATCCAATTTTGCTCTTGTTTTAGCTCTTTGTGCAAAAAATGTAACAGTGACACAGTCATAGCTTTTCTGGAAAGAGCTTGTCACTTTTTGACTAGTCATAGTATTTTATTGTTGCCATGGTTACAACCCATCTGCTGGATGGATATTTCCTTTTTTTCTTCTTCTTCCCCATTCTTACACCTTACTTTGGGTGCCATTCGATTATGACTCACTTATTTTGGAGAAATTTTGTTCCATTGGTTAAACAGCATTTTCAAGGACTCGTTATCACTGACCATGTGACCAGTTTGGTATGCTTGCTGCTCTTTGGAAGTAATCCAACTAGCGCTCGGACTTTGGAATGGTTTGTGGGTGAATACCAAAATAGAAAAAGGTTTGGGGAATTAGGCAATGAAAGTTTGTCCTGTCTTAGCTGTGAAGTTTATTTGTCAAATTTTGTCGCAACAATTATGCCACATGCACCACTACATGGGAAATTCAAAACCACATTTGACTGCCGTGGCATACACCCAACTAACATGGTTTTTATTATGTCAGCATTTCTTTGTCAAATGTTGCGTGCATCTGTCACTTGCGTGCCGCCCCCTCATGTTCTGGAAAAAAAGTCTGGGTTATTTTCTTTTGACCTGCCTCCATTTTGCAAAACATCCACCTTGCATGCTCCTTGCACAATTGATCCTCAGAAAGGAGGCGTGGTAATGCTCACGTTAGTGACCAGGGGTTTGTGAGAGGAGGTACAGGCTAAGGTTGCAGTGAGGGAATTCACATCACACCTCGTTAATTGGGTTCATGTGCCACCGAGCGTAGCAGTCATATGGCTGTAATTGTTAAAGACAGGGGCAGGTTCATTGCTTGGGTAAAGCCTTGCGTTGGACGGTTCAGTGATAGTTATCTTGACACCACATACTATTTCATTTGAAATCACGACAGTAGTTATGGGGATGGGTTGTCTGGATTGCACATGTTAACCGTGAAAGGGATGTCTTGTGTTTAGAGCCTTGAAAACTTAACTACGTGTAGAGAGCCCTTGCTCTAGTACGTAAAGGGCTTGTGCAACGTGATTTTTTATTGCAATCCTCATGCACCTTTGTGTCCCAGTTAACCTTACTTCAATTTTTGTGTCACCATTTAAAGAGCATTTTGGTGCCTTTCTTAGTTTCTATGTCAATTTCCATATTCTGAAGAGTGCCATTTTCAAATCACCATAATTTCCTTTGGAGAATTCTTAGTAGGCTATACTACCCTCAAAATAATAATAAAAAGACTTGACACACATTCCAATGATCCACAAAATCATCAGTGAAAAGTAAGTATCTAAATTGCCTACCATGCATTATGGTGTATTACATTATTTTGGACAAAAGGTTGCCAGTGATGCCTGAATTGCCTGAAACTGCATCACATTAATTTCTAAATCTTGAAAAGTGTGTCAGTCTAGATTTACATTTGTAAGTTTCCAATTTTTGTGTTTCATTGTGGATGCCACCAGTTTGAAACTGTTAATAGAAATCGTAATGACAGGTAAACATCTATCAGTGTTCCCATAAAATGGTCTGTGATCCCAATGAACCTTTGATGTTATCACAAAGGTTAAATTTTATTTGCCTTCCTGCTGTTACGATTGCATGCTGGCAGGAGTTAGCCTCTATTTTTTTTACCTAAAATGGTTGGGATTTGGTTCAGCTACTGTCCTTGCGGTAAAGACGCCATAGGCTTAACCTTCGGAATCATGTTGTGTTCATTAGATATTCACACTGGAACTCACCAACCTGTCTTTGAAGAAGCTAACTGTATCATCACTATGAGTTCTCTGCATAACAGAGGTACTATTTAAACCGTCACTGTTAATGACGGATCCTTAAGCTCTGTTTCTGTTGAGCTCCCCTGTTTGGGCATATCCTGTTGTGCATGCTGGAAGTCTATGTGGGTTTGTGCACATTCTGCTGAAAAATTAACTGCCCACATTATAGCCCTTTTCACACCAGTCTGGACTTACCTGGGTAATTGACTACCCGGGTAGTTGTTCATACCCCGGGTAGAAACTTACATGCAACATGTCCCAAGTTGCTCAAGTGAGAGTATAAGTCACACAGCACCTTTTGCAGTTCACAGTTTTTTAAATTCATGCTGTGAACACCAATTCAAGAAGAAAAATAAGACACTTTCAATGTTACAGTGGAAGTGATCATTAATGGGACCAACTGAGGAAAACCTGCATGACTATTGACAGACTGAAGAACACTATCCCCGCATCAATTTCTAAGCTTATTCCTTCATTGTTAAGAGATGAGGGATGCCGCTTTGTCAGTCTGTACTAGTCTAGGCATGTTTGTTGAGAGCCTTGTCATAAGAGCTCTGCTTACAGCAGCATTTGTTAAAGGAGTACCCCAATTAACAAACCAGTTGCCAAAATGTCCCTGTTGGTTGAAGTGGCCTCACACTGGTGGCTTTTGAAACTCACCCTGTAATTACTAGGGTGGGTCCATAGTTAGCCGACAAAGCCTGCTACGTACTGTTTGAGGTATTTACATAGTGGCCGACAAAGTCTGCCAGGTACTGTTTGAGGTATTTACATAGTGGTTCTTGTGTCTTCCGAATGGAGATGCCTCTCAGAGAAGTATTAGGCTTGCGATCCTAGTCCGCAGGGCTCTGCTAGTACTTGTTTCGTGTCCCCTCGGAGGCTAATTACTCATTCAGAGCTTCTGCTTTTGGCAGAGATGGAGCCTCACAACTTATAAGCATGTTTGACATGTTGTTTCTGGGCTTGCTGATGTAGGGCCTCTCTCATATTTGTGGGTGCATAGTTCGTTTGGAGGACAGGTTGTTCTTGAGGGATGTAACTGGGTATTTGGGGAGATGGTGATGTCAAGAGGCATCTTGAGCAGATGACTGTTGGTACACCTTGGCGATTATGATCTTTGCACCAGGAAGTCTACAACTTCACAGCAGACAGTCCAATTGCATACATGTCAACTTTAGCCCATCTATGGCAATGTCCCTAAAGCCTGTCTGTATCTCATCTTGAATTCTTGGATCTCTCTTATGAAGTGTGCCGTTAAGTACTTGTTACTGGTTTCACACTTTACCTCCATCACAAACAACAACAAATAGATTGCCTCCAAATGAGGTCCAACACCCATGATGTAGTACGGCCTTTTTGCTGCCCTGATTGCATAAGATGTCCCTATTATGGTTGTAATCTTCGCCTTCACCCAGGTGTTAACTGCCTGTATAAAGCGGAAGTGTGCCTCCAGTTTGGGTGTGAAACTCAGGTGTTGGTGGTGTGCCCTAGGCCACCAATTCTCTGTTACGTTTAATTGAGTTGTTGCAGTGCAAGACAGGACTCGTTTCTCAAATGCTCACAAACAAAAGGAGGAGAATTCCCCTCCCCTGTTTATGCCTTTTTTTAGCTCTTCCTTGGTGGCTGTTTAACCTCATACATTCAACCTAATGTCCATACACCCCTTATCCCACCGATATACAATCTTTAGAGAAATTCTTGTCTGTTTTGTAGGAATGGTACTATTTACTATGATGACATAGCTACAAAGGCACAGGGACAAGGAAGGTATGTACAATTATATATCTTCCTTTTATGAATCCCATGATCCCAATGAGTTCTTTTCATGTTCATTAACATCTCTAATTCTTGTAGATTTCTTCCACACTTTGCCAATAATGCTGCTAAAGTCCATCAGTCACAAATTCAGTTTCATTGGTTGAAAGTTTATAGCAGATACTTTGCACACCAGCAATTTTCCTTACACTTGAATAATTAAGAATATGGCTGCATGGCTTGTTGGATGGCCTATAGTTTGGCTGAAACAGTACTCCACAAACATTGTTCAGTGCGGATTAGTTGTGCACATGACAATAAATAGTTATACATTGAGGCATTCCACTGCCTCTTATTATTTGATGAATATAAAACTTGTTACTGTGCATTAGCAAAAGGTGTTAGTTGATCTTCCCACTTTCTCACTTCTACTCTCATTATACTCACTTTTTTCATCTTTACTGACAAACCCACTTATCTTCACGTTAATCCATTCAATCACCCCTCTCATAATTTCTCAAGGAACAAGTTCAGCCAAATTTCAACCAAACAGGTTTTACCTTTCCAGTTTTACCCCTTTTCACCACTTCTTCTCCGCTACCCTATCATGTGGCACGCCCTTTTAAACTACTCACTTTTAAGTGTTACCTTAGCTGTGGTGTTACCCATCCTGTACTTCTTACTAATAACTCCCCTTCCTTCATATTCACTTTCCCATGAGTTTTCCCAACACACTTTATTACGTGAAGTTGTGATCATTTAGGAAAGAGTCACTGCCAATTAGTGACATGAAGTTGATTATAGATTTCCTGTTACCCTGTAATCGCAGTGGTATTTTCCTTGAAAAAAATCAAAAGCCAAATTCATATTTTATTGCAAACTGTTCCTATTGACCTATGAGTGGACTTTGAAACAGCTCTTTACAGGATCTCCCAAAGTTGTCTAATGGTTTGCATACATACATACATAGATAAAGGTCTGTGCTCCTGTCGAATGTTTCAAGAGACCAAGCTTCTATATGTGCAGAGGCCCTTGTTACATGCTTGCAGGCACACCCACTTCATGTGAAGTACACCTTCCCCTAAATTGGCGGACAATGCCAGCGGGCCCCACTCGAATAACCCGCTTATTGGGGTGCAGAGTCTCTCATATTTTAAGCACTCTCTACTTCAATACTACTTCGCAGTCCCTCAAACTTGAGAATCTAGGGATGAAATATAGGGCTCCTTGTGCAGGGTTGGGGTGGTATGGTGCTACTGCACTTTTGTGGCATTGGGACCGGTTACAAGTTAATTTTTTATGTACACTGCCAAATTGAAAAGGCCTCCTGTAAATAACTAGCTGTGAGAGCTGTCAGTTTTGTACCGAGCAACCAGTGTTTGCATTTGAGGTTCATTTTTATTTGGGATGAATTCTATTTACTTTCTTGTATTTTTTGTTTGAAGTAGCTTTTTTATTGGTGTTTTTAGTTTACTTTTCGTCATTTGCTGTACTTCAAATCTATTGGGGAGCTTTCTCATTGGGCCCCGTTTTTGTGAATTGAAATTGCTAACTAATCTGCATCACTGAAGGATTACCAGATCATGTTTGTTGGGCACATTGCATTCAGTGGTCAAGTGCATTCGATAAAATTTCATTTTAAATGAGAGTGCACCAAGTAGATGGAACTGTTTCTAGACACTCTCCTGCAAAATGAAGAATAAAGGGGAGCAATATCAAGCTGCTGGCTACTAGTTGGCAAACAACCATTGTTAAGCATGCAAACAGCAGGGTCTAGCAGTGACCACACACTGCTCTAGAAAGGAACCTGGGTTTGGCAGTCACTCTTAGCCAACACAGTGGCAAATATTAGCTTTAGGTTCAACGTTTGATTTCACCAGCCGCTGCATGCATTGTTGACTGGCCCCGCCATGGTCCCCCCGCTGCCCACCCCTGCTTTCTGTAAAAACGTTTCAACTCTGTTCATCAACAATGGGCTTTGTAGATTTTTTGGTCTATTTTGTTCAACTAAACTACTTCCACTGGTTCCATTATGGACATTTGATTAGCGGGATTTTGGCAGTCCAACGTGGCACTGAATCCACCAATGAAAACATGGTTTTAAATACCCGAGTATTGAGCACTCTTCTTAAGCTGTTATTTTAGCCACCGCTGCAGACTTTTGTGGCTCATTTGTATTAATGGCCATTTCCACTCCGGTTACTTTAACTTTCTTTCCCTTTTCTATTTAGGGTCAACAGAGGGCACTAACATTTCCATACTAATTTTGGTTGAATTTTTTTGGAGAGGCAAGGACGGGAATAGCGTTAACCTTGTCAGGTAACGCAAAGGTCATAATCCAAACTTACCTATTTTCAGTTGCATTATAATCAACGTATAGATCTTGATTAGCTCTCTAAGTTCAAATCTAAAGAGACACATTTGCCCAACCTAATGCTACAGGAGTAACTTGGAAGATCTGAGTCACAACTCTCCAGAAATGCTTTAAAAAGTCAAGTTATGTTCATCTTTACCCGAGAGCTCTCAGAAACATTCTATATTCAGTGTTCACTGGCTTAATTGTGAACTGTACAGCGTCACAGGCTTTTCTCTAAAGTGGTGCAGCATGCCAGATTTGCCTTGATGGAATGGATGTTGTCTTTTAGAGCTGACAAGATAAAAGCCTCCATGCAGTCTTGCCTTGGTCTTGTAATAACATCCCCCTTGGGTTCCACATGGGTGGTACACATCATTATTGTTTTAACAAGTCCCTTTGTAAATGTCACTCCCCAGCAGCTTGGACATGTAATATATATAGGCTGTATTCCTTTTCACTCAAAAGGATCAATTTAAGCATAGTTCGACTTTGGCTGATAAAACATATCATCTACTCCCAAAGAAATAAGAGAGAAGATGGAAAGTGGCTATGTGCATGATTAGCCTATTATTAGTCATTGCACCTTGTAATAGCCTCACATAAGTTTCAGTGATGGTCCCCCCTTTTCTCATTGGTATACTCCCTAATTTGATCAAAAAGCTGTAGGTTCAAAGTCATCCTGCATTCCCATAATTCTTGCTTCTCTCTGGCACTTGACACAGTTAGAAAGGCTTGACAGGACACTAGAATGTTTAAGGATATAATGAATGGATGTGTCCCAGCCATGCCTTGGTTCTGTGTTTCATGGCAAGGGAGAAAGAAACTATTATCAGGCGATGCTGTAGCACTCAAATTTGTAGTACTCAAATTTGTAGCACTCAAATTTGTAGCACTCAAATTTGTAGCACTCAAATTTGTAGCACTCAAATTTGTAGCACTCAAATTTGTAGCACTCAAATTTGTAGCACTCAAATTTGTAGCACTCAAATTTGTACTGTCACGTTTCTGCTCATTCTTCTACACTAATTTCTGTACTCAATTATATGAGTGCAATGTAAAATGTACCTGACTGCATTGTATTTTAGTACTCAAGGTTGTACTTCAAAGTAGTATTCATATGAATATTTGGCTTCTTTTACTGGTACTCATATACTCGTACTCACTGAAATATACTCACGATTACAATTCTGTTATGAGACCCAGTTACATGCAGTGCACCCTGCAGTTTACATGTAGGTGTGCTCATGCAAAGTATTATTATGAGCATCTTGCTGTCGTTACTGTGTGCCCAGTGCAATACCATACACACCAACAAGGCCTTTGCCATATTTGGGTGGGGCTTTGCTTGGGCATTGCACACAGATAAAAAACTGTTTTCCTTTAGGCTTTATAGCACGAAACATTGTTGTGACAACTGCACAAAACAGTTCTGTAACATTTCTTAAAAGATAACTTTATATAAACACCCCAGGCTGGTTTACCGCCATGGAAGGGATACATTTTTTTCATTATACCATAAAAGTAATAATTAAGTTCACTTTAGTGTGTGGCAATGGGAGTATAAATTTTGCCCACTGAGAATTTATATCTCACAACGGAATGCCACAACTGCACTGATGTACCCTTTTTTGCTGTAATCTTGATCTGCATTCCAATTGCAACTAATTGAATAAGCAGTAAGTTCATTGTCTGTAATGTCTTATGCGTGGTGTTAATTGTTAGACCAAGGAATAACCTAATCCACTTATCATCTTGCTTTTCTCGTTTTGCAAATAAAATTAAATTTAGGATTCAAGCAAAACAGTGTATTATGTCACTCCACGTAGTCAGTTTGAAAGCAGTTTTCCGGGTTGGTATGATAGTTACTGCATGTACCTTGGCCAGTAATGGCTGACATTTTGAGGGGGTTTCTCATAAACAGGTATCAAACAAAACTGTATGTGGACTTGAGCGTTGCATGACAACGTCCTATTTATCATGCCTGTGATACATTGGACTGATGACGTTTTTACTGCATGGCATGCATTTATTGAAATCTGACCCCAATAAAAAAATTGAGTTGGGATTAGTTTTTCCCCAGCTCCTGTGTCTGGAAATTAAAATTGCGGGAAGTTAAATCCGTAGTAACTCTCAGAGGTACTGGAGCATGGATTGGATAACATCAAATACTTGTCATTTTTTGTTTATATTCCTGATTGAATCTTTTGCAACAGGTGTTTCTGATGACTAATATGGCATAATTTTCAGACATTCTCTAGTGACACACTAAATACTTCAGACTTTTCTCAATTTATTAGTTAGCTGCCAATGCTCAAGGTTGCGGCGTTGCCAAAATAATTTGTAGGAAAACACATTTCTTTTCTTGTTTGCAAAGTTGGAATTGGCCTCTTGCCCCTCATTCAAATGAAACATTCCTTGCCCAAGAAACCCCACGTGGGATTGACAAGGTCCAAATACTCCATGTACAGTATGTTGAATAAAACTGAAGAGGAATGAATTCCGAACAAAATAGTTACATGCTTTGCGACAAACACCTGCAATGTGCAAGTTAGTCTGTACATGTTTACCAGTGCCAACTATAATGCTGTGGTGAGTGGGATGTCACTGGTGTCCATGGCACATTGCCTATTAACATGCAAGAACTGAGGTTGGGAAG